CGGGCCCTGTGACAAACTGCACAGGGCCCTAGGCTAAATGGCCAGTAGGGCGTTGTCTTAACTATCTCAGGAATCTGGGTGTAACATAGGAACTCAATAATACCTAATCTTTTACATTTTAACTCAGGCTCTGCGGCTTAGAATCAGCTTGGAAATTTTTACCTTTACAGAACTCTTTCTTTCCTCTATCTCTAATCATTTACTCTCATCAGTATTCACTTTGAGTTTAATCATCTGCTGTGTTGTTGATTTTAATTTAAATTTATCCTGTGGATATTACCCCAGGAACAATTTGTTTGAATTTGAGGGCAAGAAATGTATCATACTTTTCTGTTTTTCATTGTTCATCAAAGCACCCTGGAAGATCCTCAGTGTATTTAAGATATTAAAAGTATATGTATACTTCCTAAAATATTTTATTCACTTTTAGTGAATATTTTATATTTACTAAGTAAATCTAGGGGTCTTATTAGGGTATTCATAGAAGAAATACAGTGACCAAGTAACGTGAAAAGTGCTTAATCTCTTTATAATCAGTAATTATATAAATATAAAATAAACTAATGATCTCACTACTAAAATTAAAAATAAAAATATTTACTATTTCAAGATTTGGTAAGAATGTGGAAAAATGGACTCTCACACATTGACAGTAGTACTTAAAATTGAGGTAACAATTTTAGAGGGTAACTTGGCAGCATCTGTTGAATTTTAAAACTACCCTATAACTATGTGGTTTTGATTCTAAGTATCAATTCTAGCACATGTACTCAAACAGAAACATATGATGATTTTTTATTACAAAATTTATAATAGCAAAAAAAGGAGAAACATTATTAACTGACACAGGAATGGTTACATAAACTATATAAATCTATGTAATGTTATACAAGTGTTATAAAATGAGGTTATAGTGTTATGCTCGAATTTGGAACCCTCAAAAGACCACTAGAGACCAAGATTGATGTAAGCAGCAAAGAGGCGTTTATTACCAGCTAGCTCAGTCCTTTGTGTGCACACAACAACTGGTAACACTGAGAGGCCCCAGCCCAGGGTTTGCAGCAATTTTATACACTCTTTGGGGAAGGCAGGGACTTCATATACATCATAGCATCTCTTAGCAAATCATCACACACCGAGGGAAAATCAAATAACAACTCTAAAACACGATTAGCACATTCACTGGTGGGAACAAGTTGGGTAGGGGTGATTGGTTACTACAAGAGGGGGATTTGTTTGAACTGATTGGTTTAAACCATGAGGGGTGTACTGCTGAACTACATGGTTTCCCAACATGTTATCAACCACCATAAACTACTGGGAGGGTCATCTGGCATCCCAGGTATTTCCCTGTCTCATGCTGATTGGTGCTTCTAGGGGGTTGCTATGGGTCCTCACCTAGCCTGACTCAGTCAGGGATACCTGGTGCAGAAGATCTCTCCTCTTATTTGTAGATAAACAACTCAGCAGGGTGGGTGTGTGCCTAGGAGTGCACTGTGGGTCTTTCCAAAGACAAAGGTCACGTCCCCTTCCTTGGACAGGCTTTGCTCTGAGGTAGAGGCTGGTTTTTCAAATAGCAGATATTGTGGATTAATATACTAATCCTCCATGCTAGGTCACTTTCTATGCAGCAGAGATTAGAAAGCTAAGATCTAGATCTCCCAGAGTCTGGTAGGGTTAGGATTCTGGATACAGGTTAAATTCTACTGTTTAGATGAAACTTGAAATAAAGAAGCAAGTCAAGAGCCTTTCAAGGCAGCAATGGTGCTCTTAGATTTACTGGAAAAAATGTCATTGAGATGTTATATTTTTTACAGCAGCATCTGCCCTGTGTTCTCCAAACTCTGGAACTGAGAAACAATTTAGAGTACAGAGAAATCAGTCCAGCCTACAGATGTCAGGAAGGTGTAAAGTTAATATCACTGGTGTTGGATCTTAGCTGTTGAGCTCAATAATGTTAGTTCAGTAGATTCTCCTAGGCATCAGTTCTCTTTATGAATTATCCTTGAGCTTAGCTTGAAGCCTACACCTTCAGCCCTTGCAGCAATTTCCTAAGAATATTTTCAAATTTCTATCTGCTTAACATGTCTTTCCTGCTCTTAACTAGAATGTCAGTTACAGACCTATCTAAATATAGAAAGATTTTAAGAAAAATTGAGTTGAAATAGGAGATGCAGAATGATCAGCCAACTTTATACAATTAACACTTAAAAAACAGTAAATAATAGTGAGCTTCTTAAGTGCACTGTATGCAAATATATGTATTGAATTTATATATTTCTTTATAAAAATAAATATATAAAAAGACCTGAAAGGATTCACAGAACAAGGTTTACTCTAGAGGACAATCGTATAGACAAGAACTGTAAATGAAAATTAAAGAAACTAGCTTGATTTATAATGGGTTCATTATTTTTTAAGAATAATGTGTTCATAAACTTCTTATGTAATTTAAAAAAATTGTACTTGTTGAGTTGAAATGAAAGCTTATCTTCTATAAGGATCTAAGTAGAGAAAAAAAGGAGAATTGTCAGTAAAATATATATTCTTGAACTGTCAGGGCCAAATTAATATTAGCTAAAAATAGATTGTATTTGTTAGCTATGTAGAACTTTCTATGATGAGATGGTGGCTTGGTGACAATAGGCACAAAATTCATGTAAACACAGTGGATTAAAAAAACTCACCAAAAAAAATGTGAATTGATTTTTAAAGCATAGTAGAAGTTTATCAGGAAAAAAAGTTAGAAAAGGGCATCAAAGATGAGGAGCACAATCACTTGGAAAGATCCAGAATAACATGTTTCAGACATCTTAAGTTAGAATTCAGGTTATAGGCAAGTGCATAACAGGAGATAAAATAGACATGTGTAGCAGCCAGATCTTGACAGTACATTTCTGTTTTATTCAGTTGGATACAACAATTACCTAATCACGCCAACCACAAGTCTAGGAACACAAAGATGCTTGATAAGTTCAGGGTATAAGAGGAGACACAGATGCATAAACAGTTCATTTTTACATCAGTGTGAAGCTGGGACAGGTGTATCCTCTAGACAAGCTGTAGCACCTCCCTGGGAATGTCAAGAAAGGATTCCTTGTGAAGGTGGCATCTGAGCTGAGGGTTTTTTTTTTTTTTTTTATAATGCCTTTATTTTATTTGTTTAATTTTATGTGGTGCTGAGGATCAAACCCCATGCCTCACACATGCTAGGCAAGTGCTCTACCACTGAGCTACAATCCCAGACCTGAGCTAAATTTTTATAATGAGTAGAAAGAGGGAGTCAAGCTCTCTAGGCATACTCAGAGTTTAAATATTCTTCAAGAATGTTGAGATGGGAGGCAAAGAGGTAGAACAGGATTCTAAGCAGGAAAAAGAGGTGCTCCCAAAGTATGTGATTACTAAGGTATCTATTCTCTGAACAATGCCATTAGAGTACATTAGGGATAGTAGAAGGACCAACAATTTAGCTGACAATGCCACATTTTTTCTAAAGGGAAGGCAGGTTTATGTAGAATACCTCTCTGGCCCTCAAGTTTCCTTCTCTGATTATGGCTTAGTTTGTTCCCCTGTAATACCTTCTCTTCCCCAACTGGCTAAGAAGAATGATGTGAGGACAATCTCTTATTACTCGGTAGCCATTTTTTTTTTTAAAGAGAGAGAGAAAGAAAGAGAATTTTAATATTTATTTTTTAGTTTTTGGCGGACACATCTTTGTTTGTATGTGGTGCTGAAGATCAAACCCCAGGCTGCACACATGCCAGGAGAGCATGCCAGGCAAGCGCGATGCCGCTTGAGCCACATCCCCAGCCCTCAGTAGCCATTTTTGTTTCATTGATTTTCTTTGATAGATAATATAGGCATAAAAACTTGAGATGTTATTTAGTAAAATTCTTGTATAATATGTATTCCTTTGTTTAGTAAAAATAAAGTTTTGTTTACTCAACTATGAGTGCCTACTGTGACAAATTTTAGATGAAGATTATTTGTTTTATTTTCTTTTTTTTTTTCTTTTTTTTACTTTGAATTCAATTTTATTTTTTATTTTTTTTTAAATTTTTTATTTTTTTATTGGTTGTTCACAACATTACAAAGCTCTTGACATTTCATATTTCATACATTAGATTGAAGTGGGTTATGAACTCCCAATTTTACCCCAAATGCAGATTGCAGAATCAGGTCGATGAAGATTATTTGTAAAGCAATAGTATAACAAAATATGTCATAATCATTATGTTTTCCTAATTAAGCATAATAGTTAAGCAGAACAATATATTATCATAACATG